GTTGTCAACCGAGGTTGTACAATTAGCATTGTCCAATTTGGGAATGTGTTGGGTTTTATGATTTTTGTACTAGATTCGTTCTATTTGGATGTAGTATTGTAACCTAACTTCTGGATATGTAATGTATTTCTGATTTCAAAAGTTTTTGTAAATTCCATTTTATTGTGTTGGCAACTAATTTTCTTTGAAATATAAACCTGGTTTCGGTCCCCAAACATTTAGTATATGGCGTAGCATAGGTCCCAAACCTTTTGTATTTGAAGCGTAAGTGGTCCCAAGCCTTTTGCAACATTTACAACAAAGGCCCCAAATGTTTGGATCATTAGCACATGCAGTCCTAAGCCTTTCAATATAGTTTCCATTTCAATCCAATCGAAGATGTATAAATATAAAACCATAACATGAAGTCCTCAAATCAAACATATCTCATAACAAACACAAAAATGAAGGTGAAATATCACATGACATTTAAATCTTGTAAAATTATATCCCATGTTCTAAATGTCAATCAAAACATCGTGTACGGTACGGGTATAGGAATATGAATAAAATGTTGATATTCTACATGAGATCGTGTACAAATGCAATTATAATTAAACAAATGAACTATCTTTCTTGAACTTCTTCTTTCATGGCCCTTTTTCGTCAAATGTAACTGCCCCTCTATTTCCCTTCTGCTTCCATGTCCATGTTTCTTCTTGAGGAGGTATCTATGCAATACAAGTTCACTTGTTGTGTCCAACTTTCCCACACCTTTTACATATCATTTTTATGCATATTCTTGTCATCTCAACTCTAACAGGTAATTCGTGTGCCCTTTTCTTTAGCTTTTTGGGTCTCCCAGCTTGCTGCTTTTTAATTCGTGGCTGATACTACCAGAAATCGTACCCGTTGATTTTCAAGCTTGATGAAACGAACGAAATCTTCTGGTACCTGAAACAAAGGCGTCAAGGTGTATTACACCTCGTCACCCTTCCGATACTTAAGTTAGAAATAGAATTTATACGTGAGGCTAAATGCTGAAAAATATGTAAAAGCGTACATAAACAATGAATTGAAGTGTTGTATTTATAGAGGAAAGTGGTACATTTCTGGTAGGATTAAGTTATTCTAATCCCTAGGAGTTGTACCATGTTTAGAAATTGCAATTTGATTAGTATTGTGCCATCAATGTTTGGATAAAGATAAAATTTTGGTGGTAGAGTCCTTATAGGATGATGTATCATATTTATAGCAGGAATGGAACTAAATTAGATAAATCTTATCATACAGGAAAGTCCTAATGGATCAGGAATTGTTAGGTACAAGGTTAAGACATAACCTCGAAGAGATTCCAAGCGAACGAGGAATGTTATTACCCGGGGAGATATCCCGATGAGATCTATGTGATAAGGGGTGTTCCCTCATGTGCTCGACGACCGAGGTACATAATTTGAGGAGGTTAGCACAAAACTCGGTGGGATGTGCAACATTACTTCTTGGGTACACCTGATCGGGTCATGCCTAATTGTGGGAACATTAGTGGCTTCAATGGATTTCTTCCCAATTATGACCAAATTTCATATTCGATTTTTATCCAAACCAAGGGCTAAG